GGGGGGTGGCCGGATGTAATGCGATGCAGTTCCCGGCCATTCCCCACTGAACGACGGCTGAAGGCCGAGCAACGGGGGTGGAGTTTAGTTGGTAGGCGCCTGGGAGTTAAAGGTTTCTCTGAACTCCAAATCTCAGGCGAATCCAACACTATCCTCTGGCAGCGAGTCTCGTAGAAACTCGCATTGCACGCCAGAGCGTGTCTTTGAAAGATTCTCCACCCCCGGGGAGGGGGCGGGGCTATCGCACAAAAAAAAAGTGATAGAAATTATGTTCTGTTGGTAGCACTTTAATCGTCGATTAAATTAACCGAAGCTTGGTCGAAGCGGCCCTTAGGAACGTCCGTATCACAAATGCGATGAGATAATATTTCCCTAGGTATTCTCTATATTTCTTTCTCATTAAAATTTAAAAAGAAATATTTTACATATTTTATTAATAATTAAAATTATGTTGTTCGTATTATTAATTAATTAATATATTAATATATTAATTAATTAATATATACTTTGTAACAATTAAAAAATTCTTATAACACTTTTTTTAAAACTTTTGATCCGTCATTAAAGTCATATCAAATTGTGATATTAATTTATGATTTACTTTCGCAATATATGTTATAATAATAGTCAATTGACAGTATTACACAGTGTAATCCGCGCGTGTTATATAATTATAATTAAAAATGTATTTATAATATAATCATAAACATGAGGCTGAGCATTGCGCGTTTTAGTTACGCGCATCCGGCGACTCGTTGCGAGACAAGGAGGAAGCAATGGACGTCAGTCATGAAAATCGAGCCGAAAGTTGCAATTAATTCCCATCTCTGTAAAATTTATATTAAAATACACAATAATGAAACATCTGAAATGTATTAAAATGTGAAATTTTAATTGAGTGAAATTATTTCTTATCTCAAACGACGCTACGAGTTTATAAAATAAAGTGAAAGTATTTACGGAAGAATTTATATTGTTTTTATGTCCAAACTTCCATTCATTTAGTCAATTTTTGTTAAATGTACGATAATTGTTAAACTTTGGAACAGGTACCGAAAAATTACAGAATAGAGGGCTTACTACTTTCTTCTTTCTTGATAACGTCGACGTTAACGCATGAGATTTCTGGACCAAATTTAATATTATATATATATATTTTTTATTCGTTATAATTCCTTATATTCGTAAAAATTTATATTATTTATTAATTTTTGCCTTGTTGTATCATGTAATAATTAATAGAATGAATGCCGGCGCACGTTCGGTGCACGCGGTTCTTTTGCCTGTTGAGATATTCCACTGTTCACTGTCCGTTTCGCTGTCTTATTTGCATTCCTCTATTCAACCGTCGAATGAGTGAGATAGCTATTGGACACCGTCAATCATATTCTGTATATACGTGATGTTAAAATATTTCATTAATATTAATATCATATACGTTTTATGAAGGTTGTAAATCTCGGAAGATTTCGTGTGCAGTGAAAGCAACATGCCACTGGTCGACTTACAAGAGAACGTTTACAAGTGTCTCCCCCCCCCCCCGATTTGATTCTCCTTGAAATATGTTGTAAAACATACAATTTGAGGAGACACGTATTTTTTTATAGTGGCCCTATCTCAAATTTAAGGGGTGAAACACCTTTTTGAAAAAAAAACGGTTTTTTTCTTTGTGTGCAACTATCGCCAAAACCGTAGGAGATATAAAAAAATGTTTCAAATAGAAGTTGTAATATATTGATATATTACAACTTCTATAATATTTAATATAAATATTTAATATTATA